ATGGCTCCCACGACGCTTCAAAGGGGGGAAGGTCTTTGCACTAAATTAATACTTCTGGACCAACCATGCCTGGCTGGCTTGTTGGTCTGACTCCCAGCACTTCAGCAGGCTGTACCTTCCACTTCAGCTCAGGACTGAGGATTGGGGGAATGGGCTGGATAGGAGATGTAGAACCTACAGCCTTCTTTAATTGTGAAACATGAAATATTGGATGAATATTTGATTCGGCCGGCAATTGGAGTCTATACGCCACTGCTCCTATTTTTTGAAGAACTGCATAGGGACCAAAGTACCGAGGAGACAATTTTTCATTAGCACGCTTAGCTAAGGACTTCTGGCGATAAGGCTGAAGTTTAAGATACACCCAATCCCCTTCTTGAAACTGGACAACTCTCCTCCCATTGTCTACCTCCTTCTTCATCCTAGACTGAGCCTTTTCTAGCTGTAGTTTCAGAACAGCTAACATCTCATCACGTTGTTGTAGCTGTTGATCAAGGTCAGCCACCGGTGTGTGCCTGGTCCCATAGTGTATAACCGGGGGAGGATCACGCCCATATACAATCTTGAATGGTGTAGCCTTGGTCGATGTGTGAAATGAAGAATTATACCAAAACTCAGCCCAAGGAATCCATTCAGACCAAGATCGGGGATGGCTGTTAGCAAAGCATCTTAAGTATGTTTCCAAGCCGCGATTCACCACCTCCGTTTGCCCATCCGTTTGGGAATGATAGGCTGTGCTTCTCTTCAGTTGGGTGCCCTGGAGTCTAAATAGTTCGGACCAGAATAGGCTTAGGAAAATCTTTTCCCTATCTGACACGATTGATCGAGGAAATCCAGTAGCGTCACTACTCCTTGTATGAAGGAATCAGCCACGGTCTTCGCAGTGAAAGGATGTTTCAATGTCATGAAATGAGCGTACTTGCTCAAGCGATCTACCACTACCAATATTGTATCCCACCCTCGGGATTTTGGCAGCCCTTCAATAAAATCCATGCTTATGTCTTCCCATATTGCCTCCGGTATAGGTAAGGGTTGTAATAACCCTGCTGGTGACAGGGCCAAGTACTTGTTCTGTTGGCAAACTGAACATGACTCCACAAACTTCTGGACGTCCTTTTTCATCCCTGTCCAAAAAAGCTCCTTGGAGACTCGTTTGTAAGTTTTCAAGACCCCTGAGTGGCCTCCCAGAGCACTGCTGTGAAATTCTTGGAGTAATCTGGGTATTATATCTGACTCCTTAGGTACAACCAGCCTCCTTTTGTATAAAAGACAATCATCAACTAGTGACCAACCCTCGATGGACAAGGGGTCTGTAAGTAGAGCTTCCCTAATCCCAGATAGCCTCTCATCAGCTCTTACCTAGTTCTATATCTCAGCCACGTCCAGTACCTTAGTCACGGTCAAAATGGATAGTTCTGCTGTTGCTGGAAGTCTAGATAACACATCTGCCGCCTTATTCTCGAGGCCCGACCTATATTGGATCTCAAAATCATACCCCAGCAGTTTAGTAACCCATTTTTGATGTTCAGACTAACCAATCGTTGCTCCAACAAAAATTTCAGGCTCTTCTGATCGGTGCGTACTATAAAAAGCCTTCCCAGCAGATAAGGCCTCCACATCTGGATTGCTAAGACTATAGCCATGAGTTCCCTCTCATAAATGGATTTAAGCCGAGCTCGGGCTGATAATGCCTGGCTGAAAAAAGCTATTGCCCTTTGTTGTTGCGACAGTACAGCGCCTACGCCCACTCCAGAAGCATCCGTTTCAACTACAAATGGAGTAGAGAAGTTGGGCAGAGCCAAAATCGGCACCTTCATCATGGCTTCCTTTAATGCTAGAAATGCTAAATCTGCTTCATGATCCCAAGAAAAACTGTCCTTCTTTAATTGTCTAGTGAGAGGTTCGGCCAACTTTCCATACCCTTCCACGAACTTTCTATAATACCCGATTAAGCCTAGGAACCCTCTTAATGCCTTAAGGTCCTTAGGCACCGGCCAAGACTGCATTGCTTGAATCTTTTTGGGGTCGGCTGCAACTCCTTGCACACTGATCAAATGCCCCAAGTATTCCAGATTGTCTCGACCAAACTTGCACTTCTTGCGGTTTGCATACAACTTCTGCTCCTTCAATATCCCAAATACCATTCTTAGATGACTACAATGCTCCTCCAGATTCCGGCTATAAACTAGTATGTCATAAAAAAAAACCAATACACATTTCCTTAACAACCCCTTAAACACTTTATTCATCAGGGATTGAAAAGTTGCCGGGGCATTTGTAAGCCTAAAAGGCATTACTAAAAATTCATAATGCCCTTCGTGAGTTCGAAAGGCTGATTGTATTCATCACCTGCCTTAAGACGTATTTGGTGGTAATCTGATTTCAAGTCCAGCTTGGAGAAAATGGTGGCACCATGCAGCTCATCTAGTAATTCATCAATGACCGGAATAGGGAAACGGCCAGGGATAGTGGCTCGGTTTAAGGCTCGGTAATCCACACAAAATCTCCATCCACCATCTTTTTTCTTCACGAGCAATACTGGGCTGGAGAAGGGGCTACTACTTGTTTGTATTATACCTGCCTCCAACATTTCTGTCACCAGTCTCTCAATCTCTGCCTTCTGTGCGTGGGGATATCTGTAAGGTCGAACACTGATAGGTTCACTTTCTGCACTTAACGTAATAGCATGTTCATGACCTCGCAAGGGCGGTAAACCTCTTGGTGACTCAAAAATGGCGTTGTATTCTGTAATCAACTCCTGAATTGGCTGTGGAATATCTGCCTTAGAGTGCTGTCCATCTACTTGCACTGAACACAACTCCACTACCATTCCCTCTCCTTCCTGTTGCAGAGTTTTGATCATGGATTTTAACGAAACCAAGGATTTACTTAGCCCTTCTTCTCCTTTTAAGGTAACCGTGTTACCCCCCATAGGTATTTTCATCTCCAACAACTTCCAGTTAACCTGAACCGTGCCTAAAGTACTAAGCCACTGCATTCCCAAAATCATGTCGGAGCTGCCCAGCTCTATGGGCAAATAATCTTCTATCACAAGCACGGATTGCATATATAAAACCACTCCTTGACATTTTCCCTTTCCCTTAACAGCCATACCCGTGCCCACTTGCACCCGGTATCCATTGGTCTCCGTTATTGGCAGGTTGAGCTTCCTGATTAATTCCCGGGAAATAAAATTGTGCGTTGCCCCAGAGTCAATTAGCACTACTATGTCCTACTCTTCCACTTTACCCTTAACCTTCATGGTCTTGGGTGATGTTAACCCGACGACAGAGTTCATTGATAGCTCAACCCCTTCCAATTCACTACAATCTGTGATCTCTTCTAGCCGCTCCAATTCCCTTTCCTCTTCCTCGTCAACCAGCAACACTTGAAGCTCCTTGTTGCGACATTTGTGCCCCGGTTGGAATTTCTCATCGCATCGGAAACATAATCCTTTTTCCTTCTTTGTTTGAATCTCAGCCTGTGACAATTTTCTGAACCCCATAGTGGTGTTTGCTAAAGGGTTGCCCCTTTTTTCCTGCCCTTCCAGTCACTTGTTTAGATGCCAGGGTACATTCCGTTGCTCGACCCTTGCTGTGCTTGGAATAATCACCCCCTTGTTTCTCGGTCGTTCCTTATCCTTTGCTTTGTTAATTCGATTATTCCTATCCTCCACCCTCTGTGCCATATACATGATCTGTGAAAGTCCCACCGACTTTGCCATCAATACCTCTGCCTGCACTTTTTCTTCGAGCCCATTTATGAAGACCCCCTCTAAGGTCTCCTCGTTTACATTCTTCAAGGGTGCCGACATTACCTCAAATTTTTCTCGATATTCAGCCACGGTCCCGGTTTGTCTGATCGCCAGAAACCGCTGATGTAGAGTCCCATATTGGGTATCTCGAAATCTCTCCAATAACCTCTGTTTTAGTTCTATCCAGCTTCGAATGGGACGCCTCCCATCTTCCCACTGAAACCAAGACAATGCACTTCCTTCCATGCATACCCCAGCTGCCACCGCACGTTCAGCATCAATCAACTTGTTCATGCTAAAGTACCTTTCAGCTCTGAATATCCATGAGTCCGGGTCAACCCCATTAAATAGGGATAGCTCTAGTTTACGGTAAGTTCCTTCGACCGCTGGAGCAACCTCCTTCTCGAGTAATGTAACTTCTAATTCCATAACTTCCTCCCTAAGACCGGTGGATTTCATTATACTTCCCTCCCCTGTCATTACAAAGGATTCTGGGGATGTTCCCTTGAACATCTTCGCTATTGCTTGAAGGCCTTCGTTCAGCTCCTTCCTTCCCAAGGCGAGATTGACCTCCAACCTCTCATTCATTTTGCTCAACTCCATCCCCAATCTCGCATTTAAATGTTCCAAGTCCCCTTTCAATGCGATTACTGAGGTACCCAAGGGTTGAATCTGAGCCACTGCGTTTTCCAGCATTTCAATTCGATTATCCATCCTTGTCGCCGGCATCCGCTTCCCACAATGTCACACGCTCTGATACCAATTTGATAGAACCTGCTGAATCCGAATTGCCTAGGTGAAATAGTGCTCGATTAACTAATAAGTCGACTCACACAATAATGGAATTAATAGGAACTTTTATTAAAACTGAGAATTACAGACTCTAGGATCGAAAGAAAAGAGAAATTAACAAGCAAGTTTCGAGAGCTGCTCCCTCTCCTATCGGACTCAGATTGCTAGTTTTCTGAATGAATATCCCCTACCTATCCTTCACTATTTATATATACCAACTGACCTCCTGTAACGACTTTAACATTTCTAGAATATTCCCTCTAACTTCTTCTACACGCCCTTCTTGTGACGTCGCTGATAGGTGAAATTCACGGGGGGTTTATCACAAAACAGCTTTGGGAAAAACTTGAGAGTGAAACAGTAATTGTACTTAAAAATAGAACAATTAAGCGAATAAGGCAACAACTTTGGCACAAGGAACCTGTAAGAAAATAATTTTGTTGTCCACAAAAGATTATTAAGAAGTTCCTGTTAGCAAAGGGAAAAATGCAGACTGGAATATCCTAGAAAGATTATCCCAAAGCAAGCACAATAAAACTGCATACTCCAAATGGCACAGTACATGAGTATGATGTCATAGAGTAGGCTCATAACCACAGGTTAACAAAAAATCTTCTTGAATAAACATAGGCACATTGCAAATTCTACGATTGCTGGGATGTTCCTTCCGGTGCTTTCTGTTGATATGATGCCTGGTCGCCAGCAGGAGGTGGTGGGGGCCAGGGCATTGTAGACTGGTAAGGGGGACGGTATTGCTGATGAGGTGCAGGTGGGGGCGGCATATGACTGTATGGTGGATAATATGGCGGGTAGAACTGACCTGGAGGTGGTGGTGGCATAGCTGGATAAGCATAATGCTGTCCTTGGTGCTGCTGCTGCCCTGAGCTAATTCTATTTTCACCAGACCCTGAGGGTCCATTAGAAGGTCCCTCTTGTGATGAATTAAGGGCACCCATTCTTTGGGGATCCATCGAGGGATAATATGCTCTATCCTGCTGGGGCAACGGAGGAATGTTGAAGTAAGGCATCGGCGGTGGTTGGTCCTGGGTGCTAGGTGGTTGAAGAGGCTGGTTCTGCTGCTGTGATATAACTGCCCTTGGCAACAATCCACTATGAGCCACGGCAGACTGCTGCCTTGCTTCATCCGAGGGTTCAGATTCTGGTTTTGGTGCTTGTGGTCTACCCCAGAGCAGCTTCAATCTAAGACCTTTGATGACTAGCTTATTTGAAAGTTCTTCGGCTGCTCTCTCCGCCCCTTCTCGTGTTGTGTAAGACACAAAAGCACATGCACGTTGGAGCACCATCTTAATGGACTCAATTTCTCCATGTGCATAGAAGTGATCCCTTAGATCCTGTTCAGAAATTCTTGCATCAAGCCCACCAACATAGAGGGTTCTAATGCTCTCATCGTCAGGGGGCTCCAGTGAAAGCATCTCTCCTGCCTTATTGAGCAACTTCAATGCCACAGGATCATTAACTCTGCAAGAGTCAAGGCAAAATATCATTAACTCGAACTTCTGATAATTGAAAGGAACACAAAAGAATAATATAGAAATCTGAACTCATTGAAAATCGTCGAGATCAACTATGAGACAATTACTTGTCTACATGGCTTGATCAATGGGAGAAGTTTGGACAATCCAGAAAATAATTGTTTCAACAAGCATGAGTAGAGAACAGGCACGGCTAACATGCATGATTATACAACTAACTGCCAATATACTGAAGAGTTTTGTCTTTCTTAGAAGCGCTCCATTCTCTCTGTTCCCGGTGATATTAATGAATTCAAGAAACAGTAGCTTAATATAAACATTAGACAAACTAGAGGAGCCATGTTAAAACAGAAATAGACCCCAAATTAACTGCCTTGTTTTATTTCCATTAGGAGCTCCACAAAGAATAGACTTAAATGAAAAGACATGTTCCATGGCAAGGAGTTCAAAAATATAAGACAATAGTATCATCAGAGACCCTGCAGCAAACGCTTTAAACTACACCAGTGATGCATAAAAATTAAAACACAAGAAAATCCTGAAGAACTGAAATATACAGCCCATAAGCATGTAATCTTCTTCATATATTTTCTTCATAAGCATAAATTTTTGCCCCAAGGGGAGAAGTGATGGCACAAACTGCAGGGGTGACTGCAAAGTCTAGCTGTAATTATTGAATAAAAATCATGACTTTGCATGCCAAACCACAAATTAAGTATATCATTTCCAATAAATTTCCAAGCATGCAACACATATTTCAAAACGTTTTAATAAAGGTCATCTCTAGCACAAAATTCCTTGGGATTAAGACATTAAAAATGAGAGTTCACAATAAGGTGCCAACACTTACACGTTAAAACAGAAATAGACCCCAAATTAACTGCCTTGTTATATTTCCATTAGGAGCTCCACAAAGAATAGACTTAAATGAAAAGACATGTTCCATAGCAAGGAGTTCAAAAATATAAGACAATAGTATCATCAAAGACCCTGCAGCAAACGCTTTAAACTACACCAGTGACGCATAAAAATTAAGACTCAAGAAAATCCTGAAGAACTGAAATATCCAGCCCATAAGCATGTAATCTTCTTCATATATTTTCTTCATAAGCATAAATTTTTGCCCCAAGGGGAGAAGTGATGGCACAAACTGCAGGGGTGACTGCAAAGTCTAGCTGTAATTATTGAATAAAAATCATGATTTTGCACGCCAAACCACAAATTAAGTATCGTTTCCAATAAATTTCCAAGCATGCAACGCATATTTCAAAACGTTTTAATAAAGGTCATCTCTAGCACCAAATTCCTTGGGATTAAGACATTAAAAACGAGAGTTCACAATAAGGTGCCAACACTTACACTGTCCCCCCACCTCCATAAAAATGAAGAAGAGCGAGACACAGAGCTGAACAGTAAATAAAATATGGGGCTGGGTCTACATTAAGGGCCTGTTTGGACCCGATTTTTTCACTAAAAAAATTGATTTTTTGACCGTTATTTCACTATTTCAGCCGTCATATTTGACTTTTTTCTCACAGGTGGACCCCACTTTTCTCCTAACGGTCCAAAAATCAATTCTCAAAGTCACTCCCAAACAGGCTCTAAATAAAGTTGATGGAAAACACAGATATTATGTACAATGCAGGTACCAAACTTAAATGACACAGTATATTTATTAATACAACCAAAACAAGTTGAATGAACGTAAAGTTAATTCATTTCACATACCCGTAGTAACGATCTTTAATATTTTGTTGTGATAACTCTCCCGTAACAGGCATCTCATGCCGGTAAGGGCATTCAGGACCTCTTGTACATTGACCGCGAATGTAGAAGCTGCATACATGTGCTCTGTTTCGCTTATAATATGGAGTTGTTCTTTGAAGTTTCAAAATAGTGTCATTAGGGCGTGCCTTCCCATAGGAAGATTCATAATCAATCCCAGCTCTAGCCTGCATACAGTAATGATTCAATCTACATTGCTGAATAAAAATGGGTCAATTAAAAAACTTCATTATATTTCAAGTTTATCTTCTAATATTTCCTACTTCAAGCTGACACATATAGACCACCAATTCAATTTAAATATGAAAGACAGTAAGGGCAGGGAAGGAAATGAGCTTGAGGAATGCAACCACTCCAAAGGGAATTCACACAGGCAGTTAGGGAGCTGTTAGATCACAGGGCTTATAAAAATGTGGAAAGCATGCTGAACTTTAGAGAAACCTAGTGGAGAGAATTGGCCTCTCGAATGCCAAATATCCTTGTCATTTCAAGTTATTCATCTTCAATTACCAAATTAACTCAAAACTTATCAATAATTTTCTTTTATTGCCTAATTGCATATCATTTAAGTCTGAAATTCAATGCTTAATACATATCTGGAGCCTTACATATTGCTTTTTCATAATAAAACAGGAAATTTATTGTAAATATATATCTATTCTCATTCTCCCGGCCTACCTCTCTTTGACAATCTCTTTTTCTTTTCGGGGGCCATCAATAAGTCTCCTGTTGATCGGTAAAATAACATATTTTTCTTTGAAGATTGTTACACTATTGCTGTTCAAATGCCGCACTTTTTATAACAAAATTAAAATACAAAAACCACCATTGGCTCTTCTCTCATACACTGATTGTATCACACGTTCCACACCGATGCATCAAACTGTGTTTCTTTTTTCTTGATGCAAGTGTTATGACCAAAGCTCCAACAAGAACAATATCATGGCCAATAACAAAAATATCTCCTAGTGTCAAGCAACATGAACATGATGTCATGAAACTCCAACCTATAACTAATAGTAGTTCAACTACTTAGCATGAAATCTGCATGCTCTCTTAATGATTTATAGATATATAAAAGAATACTATTATGCTTTTAAGCTATAACACATACTGGAGAAATGTGGCTTCTAGCAACTGTACCTTGCGATCATGCTCCTCTGCGAAGTATTCCCTGTTTACATCGCTCTTAGGAATGGCATCATTGGAATTGATACTGAGACCAGTGTCACGGACCTGAACTGGCAAACCGTATTCAAGATCCAGAAGGCAAACTTGACAAACATTTTTCAATTTACTGCAAGTTTGGCAAATTTCTGTCTTCTTATATCTTGCATCGCGTCCTGGCCTCCATCTGAAAACAGTGAATGGTCGTGTGCATATCTTGCACTCCTTGTCATAATCAGCTTTTGTCTGCAACGCAACCAGAAGATTACTTATGACTATGAAAAGGCAGAAATCAGATCACATTCTAATTATCATAAACCCAGTCCTGGGGACGCAACCAGAAGATTACTTATGACCATGAAAAGGCAGAAATCAGATTACATTCTAATTATCATAAACCTAGTCCTGTTTGGTCCCCATTAAAATTATAATTCATTTTTCTATCTCTTCTTATCAATTATAGATTCTTCAATAAAATAATATTACACGCAACTTCAAAACATTTTTATTCTTTTTTAACTGCACATTCTTTAAAAAAAAAAAAAAAAAAAAAAAACCTATTCCAAAATACATTTTCCCCAAATTCTCATTATACTGGGGGCCAAAAAAGGGCCTAATACCCTATGCACATTATATCAACAATCCTAAAATATTTAAAGAATATGAGAACCTCTAAAGTAAGATCCAAATTAGAGACAAAAATAACAACACCACAATCAGTAGAGCAGAAAAAATGACCATAAACAAGTATACACTAGGACCACTGCAACAATAAACATAGAAAAAGGGCCACCTAATCAAGAAAGAGTTCAAAAGTACATCAAACACATTAACGCAAAAGAAAATTTAAAGGATACAATTTATTTAGCACCTCTCCCAAATAAACGTGACACTTAATTGAAATTTAACGATGATATATGTAATAATGCTAAGTATTTAAAAGTTTAAACACATTGTTCCAAAGTGATTTTCTATAGAGGAGAATAGAAACAAGCCTACAGCTGTCACTTGAAAGTAGCAGCAAAGGAAGCACAACACTTAGTTTTGGTAAGGAAGGGAAGAGGGAGAGACTCAAAGTGGAACTGTACCAGTCTAGGCCCTCTTTTTCTTTCCCGTCCAAATGAAGAGGTTAAAAGATATAAAGCACTAAAGTCAACCTATGGCAGAAGACTGAGAAAACAAGAATATGGTGGTATAATACAACAAATCATTTGTTATATCTTTATTCTCTCTCCAGCCGTCCTGTCCTACCAATCTCTCTAGTGCTAAACAAGTTAGAGTAAGAGAACATAGAATTCCCCGGAGCGAGAGTGTAATGTTCTTATCCATCCTATTTCCGCTCCTCCTCCCTATTTCATTTCATGAACCAAACATAGGTTAAGTCTACTTACTTGGCCCTGTTCGAGCCCCATTATTCTCAAAAGTTATTTTTTCGAAACTCATTTTCAACCACACATCTCCCATGTAATAATTTTACACATAAACCTAAAACTTTTCCCTAATTTTTAACTATGCATTTTCTAAAAAATCACTATTTCAAAATATATTATCCCCAAAAAAAGAGGCTCAAACAAGGGCTTAAAATGATAAACAGTTGAAAATATCTATATATCTAGTACTTCCTTATTTATTTTTATTTTCAGAGCTTGTCCTCAATAACTTTCATGTACGAGAACTAGTTAAGTAGAAAACATGCTCTGGAAATTATTGGAGCACATTATTTCTCCTTCCCTCCCTCCCAAACAATGTTTTTTTAGCGCACCTTTGTTGGGTAGATGCCCTCGCTCTAAAAAGTTATATCTAGCAAACAATCTACCACCAATAATGAATTCTTATGAGGGGTTGTTTTATAAAGGTTTTGATAAAAGTTTTACCAAATTTTAATAAAAAGTTGATGCAATGTGTGGTTAAAATCAGTTGCTGATTTGACCAATACTTTTTAGCAACTTTTAATGCTATCTCAAACAAGCAGTAAGTTTTGACAAGGTAAGATTCAAATGGGAAGTTCTTTACTAACAGAATATATAATTACTTCATCAATAAATAGATTTTCTAACTCCAATAAAATCTACAGCTGTCTGATTATTCACTATCAAAGTGAAATTGGTACCAATCTCACTGACAACAATTCAGAGAAATGGGCCCTTGGGGGAAATTCTTGTATTGGATCCCTGCAGATTGAGGAAAACTCGAAGTGGGAGAAAGCCTAATGAAATGCATTAGTTTCTGCTCCCACGCTTCTTAGATGAAAACTAGTTTATGATCCATGTTGTACACCAAGTCAAGCCTATTACCTGGACAAAATACAAAGTGAGAAATATAAAAGGAAAAAAAACTCATAGAAATTTCTCTAAAAAGATTCGAACTTTCTCCAAGTGGAAGTAAACAGAAATTGTCTCCTGGTCGATGAATAAGCTTCAAGATTTACTTCTATACAGAAACACCTAAAAAGGAAAAGAAGCTGCAAAACTAGAATAGCCCTAAAAATTCAAAAGCAATTGAAATATACCATCCGAACATAAGGATTATCGCCAAGGCAAGACTCGCATATGATTGGGAAATCGGAACGCTCCCATCCATCAGCTTCCGCATCTCTCAACAACCTATGTGCCATTTCTCCTTATTATTCACTCCGTAAAACCTAGGAAAAAATTAATACATTAGCCTGTATCACTAAACAGGTGCGGAGCCACCTGTTGCGGGGGCAGATTTTGGCCCTGGGTATTACACCTATTACACTTGAGGGGCGGCGGCCAGTTTTTAAGGCAAGGAGAAATCCATACACAACCACATAAAAAATTCAAGTCGTCGAAAAAATCGTTTTTGCTAGATGAAGATTACGTTAAGAAACAACAATTTTGGAAAAATAATTGAATTATAAGAAGTTGAGTTGAAATTTAATCATTCACAACAATCAGATGAGTGCAATTTCATTAAGATCCCCTCTTTACACTATTAAAATCCGATAATACCTTCCAATTTTGTTGATGGAGAAGTTAAGCAGAAATCACTGCAACACAAGATAAATTGGAGCCAATGGGGTGCCTCTCCCCCAAATCTTAGCGTAATACCGTGGAAGAAAACCCAAGCTGCTTGTCCCCTTTCCTCGATTATAAAGAACATTTCAAGTTTACACCAAATTCAAAAATGAATTAATCTACGTATACATCATTGACGCTAGAATTAAGGCCCATTACGCTTATCGTATCAAATGATGGCCCCATTAGAGACACATCAATGTAAAAATATAATGAAAAACATAGTCATTATGGACCTGACAAAAAAAATAAAAAGTCAAATATGATGATTTGATATGATGAATAATTATGATATTTTTCATTTTAATAAACAAATAATAGAAAATAAATGGGGACGATATTAAACAAATAGTCTAGATTTTCCCCCGAAGGAAACTTATGGAATTCATACATGATTTTAAAATATAAAAATCCTGACTTTCTTTATTTTATTTTATTTTTTTCCATCTATAAATGATGTTTCAACACCCGTGTGTAAAAAATTTCTTGTGCAAAAATCGTGTACTTGTAACATAATTGGTCAAACTTTAGGCACAATTTGAGATCTCATGCAGTGTGCAAGAGCGTTCACCATGTCAATAAATTGCCGCATCAATAGTGAATATGACATTGCAATATCACATGTTGTCACACCCACAATAAGTATTATGACTTGTGTTCATTGTGGACGCAAGATCAATCCCATTGAAAATACACTTAACATCAAATTTTACATTAAGCCCCCATTTGTTTTTAATTAAAATTTTGTGTTAATTTTAAGTCAAATTTAACAATTAATTTTAATCACACATTCTATGATGTCCACAACTTTTTAACTACGTATTTCATCAACTTTTATTAAAATCTGTTAAAAGTCAGATTTTAATCTACACCAAACGGAGGCTAAATTTTATTTTAAAAAACATAGTTTGAACTAAAATTTATTGTAATAAATGGTGGGTAAAATGGACAATAATAAATCAAAATTGGTGTGAATGAATAATAACAATTCGTTACACCAAATTTTATATCAAATTTGGTGTAACGTTGGTGTACCATCGGGGAAGATCTAAAAATGCATAGGTTATACTTGTATATACATGCCTTTTAATTGAACTTTACAAGCTTGTTTTCCATTCTAATCCAAATGAATCTCGATCAAATTACTAATGAATAAAAATATTAAACCAATCGAATATTTAATTTTTTTTTAAAACAAAAGAGTTTATTAAAAAAATTTAAATCAGATGTTTAAGAATTTAATAAATTCAATTTTTTTGTAATTCCATCTATAATTTATTATTATTATTAATAATAATAATAATAATAATAATAATAATAATAATAAATTATAGAATTTTTTTATATGTATTAATTCAGTGCAAAATGTTTGTCGACGTCTAACTCAGCCCCCTGATCTGATTTAGTTATGTAATATTAAGGAGTGAATCGAATAAAGGTTTCTCAAAATTATAATAATTTAAGCATTCTCTTTTTTCAACTTGATATTGAGGGGCGTTATGTACTAAAAAAAATAGCATTTAACTTCCATTAACGCTCTACTTTTATACACAATCCTTATATTGATACATTAGTAATGTAAATGATGCAACATCTGCACAATAAATTAAGGGTCTGTTTGATTGCAATGATGAATTTGGGTAGAAAGAAAACAAATTACAGAAAATTAAATGCGTAAAACATGTTTTACTGAAAATTGTCAATTATATGTGTTTGATTGATTTAATTCTTTATATAAAAAATGTTGAAATTTTAGATCTTTTGGTGTTCGTTTGACTTTATTTTTCATGAAAATTATCAATTAAAGAGATATAATTTGTTATAAATGTGGATAAAATTTGTTTCAATTGTCAAAAAAAATTTTAAAAAAAAAAACTTGAAAATTGGTTTCCCACCCACCAATTCAAGGAAAATGGGTCATGTGGGAATTCTTGCAATCAAACAAAGAAAATGTGGAAAGTGGAAAATTCCTTGTATGAAACAGGCCCTAAAAGAAAATTTCACATCGGTGGTGTGGCTCCAAAATGTTTAAATTTTTTATTTTAGGCTACTGTGCATATGTTAGCATGCTAGTCTAATAGGTTATGTCATCGGTTAAGGCTCCTGGATGATCACAGTGATAAATGAGGCAAGCGATAGAGACAGGAATAAGGGTTTCTTAAAAGTGGCTACCTTCAAAAAAGTGCGTAATAGCTCACTAATCAAGAGCTTTTGCACCAAATATGAACTAGGTTAAACGAATTGTCGAAATTGTGGAATGTAAAAATATATCAGTAGGGAAACGTTCTACCTTAGAAGGAAGCTCCCACGGGAGTTGTGATGGAAAAAAGAAAAGTGAGAATGTTGGCTTGAGTTAACGCAAATATTGATGAAGATATAACGCCTAAAAAACTCAAGGGTTCATTTGTAAGGTTCGTCTAAAGAGAATGATTCGGGGCTTAAGACCTGGCCAAAAGGCATAGTTGATAGATAATAATTGAATATTCCTCTACTATTACTTGTTGATCCCGAGAGATGGAAGAAACAACAGACTAGGTTAGTCGAAAGTTGGTTATAGATTCAACTATGTAATGTGCCCCTACTTTTTTGGGTAAGAAAGGGTAGAGAAAATGTCTAGAGCCAATATTCGAGAACTAGGCACCATGATGCTGAAGTAACTAAACAATATTCTTCGGAAAAGTTTGAACAATCTTAAACAAAAAAGGTAATTATATCTGAAATGACATAGATGGGTAAATAGAGAATACCTAGGAGCACAAGTGATGCGAACCCGCGTAGCGCGATCACTACCAAACCCATAACAAATTGAGAATCAAACCTAAGAAAGCCAAAGACAAGGTTTTGGATTAAACCTAATAAACTGGGACTAAGCAACCCGAATCGCCGACAATATGCGGACCTCTTGATTAGGTAATTTAAATGAATCTCACCCGATTGATTTGAACGCCACAAGATTAATTTTGATAAGTTCACAAGTTGTTCAACGAAGAACGAGAGAAAACAATTAATGCCTCACGAATAATATTCAATAATATGAGAGTTGTAATGTTTTAAATAAGGAATAAAGTATTTATTCTATTATAGAGAACCTAAGTAAACTAGGAAAAATATCTAAGAATAATACAAAATTCGTCCACAATAGCCTAATTATGGTAAAAATCTACTAATAATGAAATTCTATTAAAATAAGGAAAAAACGTGAAATTTGAAAAAATTCACATCGGACATAAGTCTCAAAGTCGCAGACCAATTGCACTATGCGACCGCATAGCTTTAGAGCATGCGGTCACATAGTGCAATTAGTCTGCGACTTTAGGACTTCTGCTGGGTGTATGTGACCGCAGGACTTTAGACCTGTGCGGCCACATGATTTAATGCTCTAGCTTCGTTTTCTTCGACTTTAAGAACGTTGATCCAATACTCTTCGGCCTTCCCCAACACGAAACTTGCTTCATTTTGCATCCTGAACATTGTTTCATCAACCGTTGCTTTGACGAGCAATCCCATTGCCCCTTTCACGCGCTTGGCCCTTGATCGGGTCATCAGCCCCTCGATTATCAACGAATCTTTCCTCGAGCTCGACTCTGGACTTGACTTTGGTACTTGTGCTTCCCGGATCACATCAACAAGGCAACTCTTCCTAAGGATCTCGATAAAATAGACTTTTAACTTCGAAAGAAGTGGTGCCTTCTCACAAAGAGGGTCACGAATAGATCGCAAAAATCCTCATCCAACCAGTGCATATTTAAAGCTTAAATTATTATTTAAAATTGCTAAAAGCACTTTTTTATCCGTACATTCATGGGATCCATACCCCATAATTTATAATTACTTAAAATCTTTACAAAACAAGCACTATTATTAGTCTATTGAAAAATTAAGAAGTACAATCATGACAAAACTTGGCCCTCGTTTGAAAGTTCAAATAAATTTGTTCACAAATTCATTTTCAACTACACAATTTCTAATACAATAATTTTGCACGTGGATTCGTAGCTTTTGTTTTTTTAGTTTTTAACAACATATTCTTCAAAAAATTTGTTTTTCACAAAATTACTTTTTAAAAAAACAATATCACAAGGACTTAATAAATTGGCGACTTTAATAACCGAATTATAACAAAATAAAGCTAGAGCACTAAAATGAAATTCACCGTAAATTCGATGACGAAAAATGTTTTGGTATCAGTCTAAGCGTGTGTCTGGGAACAATTTTTATGGAAAATTTGACCGTTACTCAAGGTTAATGGGGCCCACATCTGCAAGAATTTTGGCAATAAAGGGGACAACAGCTGCACCCGTCATTCACCTCTTCTTTGAAATGTCAAAATTATTCTTGTGATGGTATGAAATTTAAAAAGTGTAGGGACACCGTGATCTTTTCAATATAATTTATAATTGACCGGTTGGTGCAGTCAACAATTACTGCAACCCTATGGGCCTCCTTTTCTGCAGACAACGGATGAAATTCTTATTATAATTTGGAAATAAGCACTCCCGGACATCCCCTAAATTTGAAAGAATTTGCAAAACAATTCTTTAATCTAAGTTAAATAATCACCATCATACACAATCTTTACCCAAAAAAAAAATCCTTATTTAAGGATAAACCACATTTTTCAATTCTTTAAAAATTATCATATTCTGGTATTGACTTTTCATAGCTTTATTTCTAAGGTCGGTTTTCCAACCACCAAAAAACATTGTATATTAGATATATATATTGCTATAGTTGCTATTTGATATTGCAAAAAATCAAAATTTTAATAATTTTTTAATAAATGTTAATGAAATATATAATTTAAAAAATGATAAAAGTTGTGAGTCCACGGAATATGTAATTTTAATTATTTACATTCACTTAGATTTTGATTTTTTTTTTTTTGGATAAATCAAATAGGAGCATAGTAATTTTTCAGCCTATATTTGATGTAGTTAAAAATTTATAGAAAATTTTGATAAAAATTGATAAAATATATGGTTAAAAATTGAATAAAAATTATGAATTTTATGAAATATATAGTTAAAATTAATTGTTATCAACTTTCAAAACTACATCGAATATGAACCTTGATTAAATTGACACTTTTACTTTACTATAGTCTTGACTATAGTT